GCATGCACGAGGTCCTGGGTTCAATCCCCAGTACCTCCACTGAAAAACCAAATCAACCTAATTACCTCCCCCCCTGCAAAAATAAGTAAATAGTTTTAAAAAAAGAAATAAGTGTAAAAAAATTCCCCATTAGTGAAGATGCATGAAAACCACAGAGAGACCAAAGTGGATGCAAAACTCTAGTGCACTTTTAGCCTGCGCACTTTATAGCACTTTAAGTTCTATATATGTCTGCTGACTTGGAGTTGTAAACTTTGAAACTTTCAGCATAGGTCCATGACAGTCTCTGAGTTTGGGATGTTGAACTCATTTATTTTTTACAGATGTGTGTTTGCAGTTTTTACTAGTCTGAAATTAGAAGCATCTCTACACTTTATGACTAATAGTAGTTAGCCCCGTATTGAGTGAGGACTTCCGGTCACCACATATTGTCAGGTACTGCTTGTAGTATTGGTTTCAAGGGCTTCTCTTAGTGTTTCAGATATACCGAGACCAGCCTCTAGGGGGCATATGGAGAATGTATATAACAGCCTTAGGTTTTTTGCCTGGTATGTGAGTGTTCTTAAAAAGAATATATATATATTTATAGGTTGATTTTTTTTAAATTTGGTGATTTCTATAGAATACATTTATTTTAAATATATAGAAAGCTTGAGATGCCTCATATAGGGTGGCAACTCTATTTATTTGTGGGATGTTTCATTGAGAGAGATTATTTTCAGTCCCCTTCTTTTGAGAGCTGTGCTGTGAATTACAAACCGTGCATGTGTATGAAAGGTTAAGAGCCCGGGTAGCTGGGTGGGGTGCCATGCTGTTAGCAGACGACGAAGGCAGTGTTCCACACCAGGTACACGCCATCAGCTCTTTAGAAGATGCCACCTTCATGGAGTCAGCTCATGGTCCACTTTTTCTTGAAGCCAGGTAACAGTTCCCACAACCAGTGGGTTCGTCTTGTTGGAGTTTTTCCAACTAGAAAAACTAAAAACCTAAGTTCTTTTCTTCCCTAACTGTTTTTTTAGTGAAACATTGCCTGTTGGAAGAACTAACTTGCAAGGTAGAATGAACCTGTGTTATCACTTTGTTTTGTAAAATAATAATTATATAAGGAGTGACTTTTGTTTGTTTTTTTTGGCTAGAAACTGGGGAGGATAAGAAGTTAGAGTGAGTGCTGTGTGCCGTTTCACTGTGGTGATAAGCATGGAGCACCCTGCTTATTTCTTAGGGGGGTACTGAGTGCCCCTTTTATGATAACTAACCTGATTGTCCACTCTGACTATTACTGAGGCAAAGTAATTTTGTACAGTTTATATTCTTGGCTCTTAACTCTTTTCAATATGTCAGTGTCTTGGCCTTTTAATGATGCCTGACTCTTGCTTCAAATCTGTTTAATATAGTTGTAAAATAAACTAGACAGTCTCTCTAAGCTCTTAATTCTGTAAGTTTTCTACATCACCTCAATTGTGCTCACTTAAGTAAAATGTCAGTGACACTTGAATAAAATGTTCCAACCTTTGCTTTAAAGCTTTATCCTCTTCGTGATAAGCTGTCATACTTAGTGCCCATGAGGGTGCTTAGCAGAGTTATTAACTGCGCATGCTCACAAACTCAGCTTGTGGTTCAGGCTGTCCCTGTTCTTGTCATGCATAGTATGGCTTGTTTTATGTCATTACCTTTTGGTCCATCGTGTTACATTATGTCCTTTAGTTGGTATCATCATCATTGCCTGTCTGACTAATACCAGGGTTTGGTTTGGTTTGGTTTGGTTTGTTTGTTTTTTCTTCTTCTTTCTTTGATCAGCAATAACCAAATTAAATGCGAACTGGTAAACCTTCCCCACTCCCCCTCTGGGATTTTTTGGGTAAATTTTTATGGGGTTGAATGTTTCCAAGGTTGATTTTAAGCAATGCTCTTAGAAAAGTATTGTCAGTTGTCACTTAATTGCTTACAAATGGCTTTTGGTTGGTTCCTTGGGGGCAGAAGTTGCACATCAAGTTCCACGAGATTGACTCTTAGAATTGTGAAGTCTCAGTCTTACCTCTCCTTTTGAAGGACCACGGTGGTATTAAAAAGTGGCAGGTTGATTTGTCTAAGTTCTCCATTTCCCATGCGAAGAAAATGTCTAACATTTTAGATGTTGCTTCCTCCCAAATGTAACAAATTGTAAAGTCATTTGTCTTTATTAATGTCTACAGTATGTCTTCAAAAATTTTTTTAATAGACTTTATTCTTTTAGAGCAGTTTTAGGTTCACAGCAGGACTGAGCAGAAAATACAGAGTTCACACATAGCCCTCCCCACCCACACATATATACTCCCCTACCCTCAACATTCCTCATCAATGAGGCACATTTGGTTCAATCGATGAACCCACATGGGCACATTATTATCAACTGAAATCCACAGTTTTCATTAGGGTTCACTAATGGGTTCTTGATGCTGTGCCTTCTAAGGGCTTTGACAAATGCATAATGACATGTAGCCACCACTATAAAATTATACAGAATAATTGCATTGCCCTAGAAATCCCTTGTACTCCATGTATTCATTCCTCCCTCCCTCCCTCTCCCCGAATCCCTGGAAACTATAATCTTTTTATTGTTTCTGTAGCTTTGCCTTTTCCAGAATGTCATTTGGTTGGAATCACACAGCTTGTAGCCTTTTCAGGCTGGCTTCTTTCATTTAGTAATATGTCTTTTAAGTTTCTTCTATGTCTTTCATGGCTTGATAGATCTTTTTCTTCTTCTTCTTTTTTTTTTCACTGCACATATATTCTTTAATTTACATATATGTACTGTTCATGGCTTCTAAGAAAGTTTAGAGCACTGAATTGCCCAGGAGCATGTGTCTGAGATTGGACCTGGTCAGTGGGACTCAAAATTCTGGGAAAGGCTTCCAGGAGCTGGGGTGCTGGAGAGATGGTGGTCTCAGGGCCTGGTCCTCTGAGATCACTTGGGATCCTGCCCTATCTGCAGGAAAGTGAGATCCTGGAGTCTCTCAGGGAGCCTGGGGCCCCGGAGAAACCTGTCTGACTGCTTCCCTGCCCCACCTGGTTTCCTGCCCAGCGCCTGGGGTGTAGCTGCCTCACCTCTGCAGCCTTCCCCAGGGGGCCCAGTGGATGGGGGTGAGTCTGTGAGACCCCAGAAGCTACTGGAGGCCCTGAGTGCCTTCTCCTGCTCTGGGGGTGTCAGGCAAGGGCAGCCAGAAGAGGGAGCCCAGGGCTGGGTTGGGGCATCTGCCCCTTTACTGCCCCTCCCCACCCCCCAGGTTCACCTCACTCTGGGCTGGAGGTCAGAGATCCAAGCCCAGGACTCACACACAGGCATCCCATCCTGGGCAGTCCCTCCCTGGGATTGGTCCTTTCTGCCTCCCACCCTACCTCCTCCACAGCCCACTGGGGCCCTTGGTGCTGTGGTGGGGTAGGGGGTGATGGACAGGGCAGGAGGAGAGGCTGAAGATGGGGACTGGTCCAGGTGATGGGATGCTCCACCAGGGCCAGCTAATTTCCTGCCTCTCTTTTGTGTCCCCTCAGCCACCAATGACCTGATCGAACAACCCATCAAAGTGACCAAGTAGCAACAGATGTACACCTATGACTCGGGCATCCACTCGGGGGCCAACACCTGCGTGCCCTCAGTCAGCAGCAAGGGCATCGTGGAGGAGGACGAGGCCTGCGGGCACCAGTACACGCTCAAGAAGACCACCATCTGCACCCAGGCGGTGCCCCAGAGCCAAGGTCGGGGTTCCTGGGGACTCTTCTGTGGGAATATTCCAGCAGAAGGCCAGGCTGGGCCTGGAAGGAGTCAGCGTCAAAAGAGACAGACTTTAAGGGGCTCCCAGACTGAGCAGGGAGGCGCAGCGACTTCCAGGCGCCCCCATCTGGGAGGGAGGCAGATTACACTTCCATGAATGTATTGTGTGAAGAGGAGGCATAGACCCTCTCCTCCATGCCTAGAGTAAAGCAGGGGGAGTGATGGGTGACAGTGTTACACAAGAGGAAGTCAAGGAAGGCCTCTCTGAGGAGGTGACACTGAGCAGTGCTGAATGGAGTAAAGGACCTGGTCCTCCAAACATCTTGGGGAAGAGTATTCCAGGCAGAGGAAACAGCCTGTGTAAAGGCTTCATCCTACTCCATGGTAGAGAAATCTCCCTTCTGCCCAGAATTTGTGCACATCTCTCTCACAGCACTCTCTCCTTTCATCTTGCTTTGTGGGCTTTTTAGGCACATATCTTCATTCTTATCCTATAGGTGCCTTGAAGGCAGCATCTGCATTTGATCCAGCTCAATGTCTCTCCCTGGGCTTTGCACAGTTTCTGGCACACACTAGGTGGTCGTTAAGGGCAGAAAGCACGGCTGGACAGATGGACGGATAGGCTGTTTTGCTGGTGGGTGGATGGATGCACTGAAGGATGAGAGGAGAAGATAATGGGTGTTTGTAGCCCGCAAGCCCCATCCAGCCTGTCAGGCCTTGCTCCTTTCCTCTGATTCCTGGCCTCCCTTTCTCCTGCATCTCCCTTCTCCCTCAGCTTAGTCCCCTCTAAAAACCCCCTTCTCCCTATTCTAAGGGCTGTGCCTGGCTTTCATAGAAAGTGACTTCAACATAACAAAGGCAAATGAAAATACAGATGGCAGCTTTGACTATGGCATCTTCCAGATCAACAGCCATGACTGGTGCAGAAATTACCAGAGTCACACGGAAAACCCTTGTCACGTGGACTGTCAAGTTCTGGCTGGGGCCCCGGGGTGGGAGAGGTGAGAGAGGTGACCAGGCTGTATGCACAGGACTTCCTTTACCTACGCACAGCCTGGCAATGGCCCCTGGTGGGGTGGCTCAAGGAATCAGGGAATCCCTTTACTGAGCAGAGGGTTTGACTAGTGTCCCTAATTGCGCATCCATAGCAGTTGCCACAGTGTTCCTCAGGCTCCAGATAGTCTCTGCACGGCCAGCTGCAGTAGAGCAGCAGCAGCAGCAGCAGCCAGCATTTATCGAGAGTGGATTATGTCCTCAGCACTTAACATGCATAGCTCATCTCATCCAACCTGCCATGTAGTACAGACTAGTATGATCCCCACTTTACAGATGAGCAAACTGAGGCTCATAGAACCAGTGCTGAATGCCAAACTGGTGGCCCTGAAATCTCAGCTCTTACCACCAAGTAGTCTAACCAAAGGCCAAGGATAAACTCCCCACTCAGAGTTGATCCAGGAGGCTCCACTGGCCCATGACTGTGTCCCTTATGTCCTCCTTTGTTCACCTGAGGAACTTCCCTCCTTAAGCATGACTTTACCTTGGTCTCTGTGCTTTCCCTAGGAACCTCCACACCTTGGGGTGAATCACCATCTACTCTGGCTAGGAAGTATGGTAGTAAACCAGCCCAAGTCTCAGGCTTCCTGTCCCTCCTGCCCCCACCCCCAGCCACCCCCCAACCTCCAGCAGCCATTGTATGGATGCCCCAGTGGGCCTCTAGGAGGGAGGCCCTGCCCCATCTGGAAGTACTCAGCCTCCGGGCGGCACACGCCTGCCTGTGCGGGGAGAGCCAGTGACTGCCTCAGTCTTCGGGACTGTCCCCTGTGCTCTCACCAGTACTCTCCTTCTTCCTTTCAGGACTGCTGAGCCCCAACCTTCACTCAATCATCAACTGTGCAAAAAAGCTTGTGTCTGGAGCAGGGGGCATGAAGAACTGGTGAGGAGGACCCTGTGGGACTAAGCTAGTGGGAAGGGTCTTAAGAAAGATGTGCTGACAGAGAAAGGGACACTAGGCCAGGCCTAGATGTCTTCTACAGTCTAGAAAAATGTGGGCTAGTGGCAGGGCTTGGAACGCCGGGATCTGGCTCTTCCTCTGACTCTGTGTTAAACCAAACTCTTTTGGTTGCAGTGACAGAACAGCCTGAGCTAGCTGAAGGAGATTTAGTCTGAGAGGACAAGGGGTCTTACTGAGCCCACACAAGGGGTGAGGTTGGGCCTCAGGAAGAGGGTGCAAGCAGGGCTGGAAACCGTCAGCAAGCTTTCCTTGGCAGGTTTCTGCTTCTCTTGGTGTATCTGCTGTATGACTTCCTCTGCAGACCAGCTTTCTCTGCTCTACCACCCACAGGACCATGTCTGCCCTGAATCTATGGGCTAATGTCCTAAGCAACCACACAGAGCCGGGCTAGGCTCAGTCCCAGTCCAAGTGCTTGAGGTAGAGAATCTGTTGGGTTCAGCTCAGATCCCGTGTCCCCGCTCGGTTCAGTCAGCCGTAGGCCTGGGAGCAGTGAAGCAATAAAAACCTGGCTGCCACAGGGCCCTCTCTCCATAACTGGCTGCAACATTTTCTAGAATAAGTGTGTTGTTCATCAGCTGGACAGACACCCCAGCTGTCAGTTTACCAGCGGTAGATGTTGGGATGGTTACTTAACTTCTCTGACCTTCAAACTAGATGTATAACTAATATTAGTGGCTGCCTCTATGGGAAACTGGAAAACAGAAAGAGTTAAGTGCCTTGGATTCTCTAAAAACACAGGCAAAAGAAGGGACATTGATGATTATTATGGAAAGAAAGTCAATGGTTGCCTCTGGGTGTTTTGTTTGTTTGTTTGTTTTAGTAACTCTCAGGCCTGTAACACAGTCCTCTTCTCCTTCAGAGGGAGATAAGGATTTGAAAATGTGGAAGCAAAATAAAAAATAATAATAATAAAATTTTAAAAGCCTGCGGTGGGGGGTGTAGAGCTCATGGTACAGTGCATCCTTAGGATGCAGGAGGTCCTGCGTTCAATCCTCAGTACATCTATTAAAAAAGAAAAAAGAAAGAAATGTAGAAGCGAACGGAATGGGGAAAGAGGGCGAACAACACGGACAAGGGAATTTAAGGGAAGAATCAGAGGGGCCAAGGGAGGACAGATTAGACTGCTGGGAATGAAGGGGATGCTGGGCGTCACTCTGCGTGGAAGCCTCACTAAGTTCTGGGTCATGTGGTCAGGGAAGCAGCTGGTAAGGTGGAAGCAAGAGCCAGTCTTCTTTCTCTCCACAGGGTAAAATGCAGGCTGCACTGTGCAGGCCGGCCACTCTCCTGCTGGAGGACAGGATGCCACCTGGGATGAGGCAGGGGACAGGCCTGTGGTGGAGTCACTCCAGAATTCCTCTCCTCACTTTGAAATTCTTCATTTCTTCTTCCTCTTGCCTCCACTTCCTGTTATTTTCTTCCCTTCCATTTACAAATAAAACTGACCAGAGCCCCAGAAGTAGATGATGTTCTAGGACTTCCTCCTTGTTCCCATCTAGGCCCAGGCCTCTGGTTCCCTGACTGTCATTTACAAACCGAGAAGACCATAATGAGGAAGTATCTGTATTTTTGGAATTTTTAAATCATTCCTTGTGCAAAGACTGTGTTAATTTATTCATTATTAATTCCACATGTATTTGCATACCTAATAGAGTAGGAATGTGCTAGGGACTAGAAGATAAAGCATAACTATTGTTCATGAGGCGTTCATAATCTAGCTGGGGAAGCAGAGACACATATGCATAATGGAGACAATGAATAGATACATACAATGAATACAGTAGTAATAAAATCTATAATTATTGGTTTGAAACAGTATCAGGATCTAAGTAATTCCTCCAAAGCCAACTATTTTTGAAGTAAAAGCTCAGAAGTAGGCCATGGGTGGGGCTAAGGGTCTGGTATATTGAGGTGGAGAAGGGAGTGGAGGGGAGGGAAGAAATGGTGTCAGGTGCCAGGTTCCAGTGATTTGGGGGTACTTTGGGAGAGTAGGCTAGAATCTAGATGATTAAAAAAGCTTCAGGATCTGCTTTGCTTGGAAGGTGCTGATGTGGAGTAAAACCTGCTTAAGGACACTGCAGAGACAGAAAAGGGACAGTTGGAGGAATGCCCTGCCCAGAGCCACCATCAGTCCTGTCTGACTAAACTGGGGTTTTATCTTGAGCCACTCATAACCCTACTCTGAGCTTTAACTCCTTCAGCTATCAAATGAGTGACTTGACTATTCAGTGATTCCCAGACTTTTGGATTTCACAGACCAGTCAAATGTCAAAGAAAAAAAAATTAAGACTGTGAAAGTTTCCAACTTTTTATTTTAATGCCTAAGTATTAATCAAAACAGCTATCCTTTATTAGTATCTTTTCATAGATAATTTTTAGCATCAAATTGAAGGAAAGTCATACTTGTAGGATAATACAAAGGAATAGATTTTGTTCTGTGGGAAAAATTAAACCTTGATTATATTGCTCTTTTCCCATTTTGCTGAGAACTAGTAAAAACTTCATCAC